CTCTTTCTCTCTCATCAAGGGTTAACCCTGGCAGGCAAGATCTAAAGCCCGCGTCCTCAAAGTTCCACGTTGTGTCGACAGGGGCGTGAAAACACCCACATTTTGGACTTAGATTTTTTTGTGGGGTTTTTTTTGCGTTTTTGGGGGGATTTTTAAATGAATTTTCGAGCCTCTCCGTTTACTTGACTCGGCCCTTTCGGAGACAGACTTTGAATTTCGAGGCTTCGCCTAAAAAATAACTTAACCATAACATAATTATTATGATCGATAATTCTTATCACCTTTGTATTCAATAGGGCCAACAGTTTTAGGCCAACTAATAGTTCAGAGCGTAAATGTCCTCATTGTACATGCTATACGGTTTGTTATCACAACTCCTGACCTCGATTTCGTGGGTGGTTAGAGGGTACCACTTGGCTACCTCAGAATTACAACGTTTTATTTGTAATTTTTGGCCGTTTGGAGCTACTAAGACCATCGGATTAGAAATCAAATTGATTCTCTGTCTGCTCTACCAAAATCGTAAGGTTATTCTGAGTCGTTAGCGAGATATTCAAAGAATTGCTTTCGATAAAGATTGGCGTGTTATGAAGTTCAATTTTTTAACATCAATTTTTCTGAAAACTGGATACTGAGCAGACAGGACATAATAATTCTAAGGTAGCGACTTGGGGAAGCTTCTTCTTTATCATTCATCTTTTACTTCCGTTTGCATGGCTTTTATGTCATAGAGAATTTGTAAAGGAATTCTGAGCGGCAGGTCTGTTTGTTAACGATGTTGAAACTGTTACTGAGTGATACATTATTTATGTCTTTGATCATTCACAAAAATCTATGTTGTGTTATAATGAATACTGTGTCGTCTCTTTTCTTCTATAACAAATCCCCAAAAAAAGGACAAGACATGCATGTGGAAAAGGGGGTGCTCTGCCTATGGATCTGCAGGGGGGGGGGGGGTGCCCAATGACATACCCATTAGCTCTTCAAATTTAGCACTCAGTTGATCCACATTTTTGGATTTGACCAAACTATATCCCCTCCTCCCCCCCCCCCCCCCCCTCCCCCTGAAATTTCTGGCTTGGCCCCAGCAACGACACCCTGTATTGTTATGCTTTTAGATTAGTACCGTACTTGCTATAAAAAGTTTGTGGTGTTGGGTTTTATGATCAATTAATTACTAATGATTATATAGACAACACCTCTTTATTTTTGTCGCGTATGCACGAAAATCGAGATTTTCTAGGTCTTTTAGAATTCAGAGGCGTATGGAAAAAATCAGAGAGATTCGCAACTTTGATTCCGGGAAATGAGGTCGACAAGTTGTCCATTTGTTGTTGCCCGGACTATACCACTGTTATTATTATTATTATCATTATTTTTTTTTAATTGTTATTATTGTTATTATTATTATTATTATTATTATTATTACTAATATTATATTATTATTATTATTATAATTATTATTATTATTATTATTATTATTATTATTATTATTATCATTACAATCTTCTTTTTTTTTTTACTAATGTCATCACCGTTGTGTATAACTAAGTACATGTATTGCATTGTTGCAGTCGTTGTTGTTGTTGTTATTACAATTATGAATCTTATGATATCATCATTATTGTTGAAGTTTACTCATTGTTGGAAAATTACCCCCCGGTTGTTGTTTTTCTTTTTTCACAATTACCCAACATAATTCTGCTTGTGGTATAGTGGCCAGGCTCTGTTTCTTGTCCGTGAAATACATGAGTTCGATTCCCAATGCAAGAAAAGCGGAATGCATGTGTGGGGTGGGGGGGGGGGTTGGGGGGGGGGAGAGGTGGGGAGGACTAGATCTAATATTTACTTTTGATTATGTATTTCTGCCGGGATGTAGATTATCTCACATGGTCGGGGATGTCCCAAACATGTTGCGTCATGCAACTCCTCATAGACCTCACTACTACTGTTGTTATTGCTGTTGTTGTTGTAATTGTTGTAGTTGTTGTTGTTATTTTTATTGTTGTTGTTGTTGATGATGATGATGATGATGATGATGATGATGATGATGATGATGATGATGATGATGATGATATTGCTTCTGCTGCTGCTGTAGTTGTTGCTGTTGCTGTTGTTGTTGTTGTAGTTATTGTTGTTGTTGCTGTTATTGTTGTTGTTCTTGTTCTTGTTCTTTTAGTTCTGTTGCCGATGAAGCCTAACTGGGCAAAACTTTGTACTACGAGATGTTTTAATACACTAAAAATATCTAAACTATAATCAAGTAGTGGACAACAGTGACGATGATGATGATGATGATGATGATGATGATGATGATGATGATGATGATGATGATATCAAACAGTAGGAGAGACCAGAGGCGTTCTTTAAACAACATATATATATAGTCACTATATCGTTATACCAATCAATCAAACCATGTTTTCCTCTTTGTCATTCGTAATGATAAATAAAAAAATAAATTAATGTGAAAAAATATGTTATGTTTTAGCTGTCTTCA